GTTCTTTTTCTAAAAAAACTCCCCAGTGGGCTTCGGCCCGCCCCGCGGGCCACCCGCAAGTTTCCGAAAATCCATTTGTCAATGCCTTTGTTGCCCCAACTTGGCCCAAGATGGCCTCCAAGACGGCCAAGATGGCCCAAAATGGCCTCCAAGATGCTTCCAAGACGGCCAAGATGGCCTCCAAAACGGGTAGGATGGTTCCAAGATGCACCCAAGACAGCCCAAGATGGCCTCAAGATGGTCTAAGACGGCCCAAAAAGCCCGCAAAAGGCCTCCAAGACGGCCAAGAGGCCCAAGATGCCTCCAAGATGCCTCCAAGACGGCCAAAGATGGCCTCCGAAGACGGAAATGCTCCAAGATGCACCAAAAGGTCAAGAAGGGTTCAAGTGGTCTCAGACTCCCCCAAAAAGGCCGGCCCAAGAGCCAAGGCCTCCAAGACGGCCCAAGACCCCTCCAAGACGCCCTCCAGGAAGGCCCGAATAGGTTAAATCATTGGTTCTCCGTTGGTTTTTGAAGGATTTTGGCATGTTCTTCTTTTCAGCTCTCCGACGGCCCCAGACGGCCCATGAGGTCCCCAACATCGCCCCAACAGCACCCAAGAGGCCTCCAAGATGGCCCCATGACGGCCCAAGAGGCCCCAAAGAAGGCCCCAAGAGGGCCTCAAGACGGCCCAAGAGGCCTCCAAGACGCCCAAGATGGCCTCCAGGGCGGCCAAGATGGCCCAAGATGGCCTCCAAGATGCCTCCAAGACGGCCAAAATGGCCTCCAAGACGGGTAAGATGGCTCCAAGATGCACCCAAGACGGCCCAAGATGGCCTCAAGATGGTCTAAAACGGCCCAAAAGGCCAGCAAAAGGCCTCCGAGGCGGCCCAAGAGCCCTCCAAGACGGCCCAAGACGCCTCAAAGACAGCCCCAGATAGAAACGAGGCCTCCAAGACGTTCTCCAAGAACGCCCCGAGAGACCATTACCGTTCATTTCATATTGGTCCGAACAGATCTTGTGTATATCGTCTTTTCGGCTTTCCAAAACTCCGCGACATCCCAATAAGCCTCCAAGAGCGCCCCAGAACAGTCCAAGAGGCCTCCAAGAACGCCCTAGACGGCACAAGCAAGCCCCAAAACGGCCCCAAAGACAGCCCCAAGACGGCCCGGCAGATCTCCCAAACGCCCACGCTGGCGTCCACTACGGCCACGATAAACCCAAGTGAGGCCACAGAGAGGCCCCCAACCCAGCCCAGACGGCGTCAGGCAGAACAGGAAGGCCGCAAGGCATCCATAGAGGCCCCCAAGATGCGTCCAAGACCGCACATGTGGCCCAATATAAACCCAGAGTAGCCAAAAAGGCACTCAAGAGACCTCCTCCTCCATTCCCCCCCTTCCTATCTCTCCTCTCCTCCCCGTCCTCCCCCACGTGTTCCCCGAAGGCTGTAAAGACCGATTCGGGGAACATATGGCCCAATAACTTGGCAGACCTCTGGCCACAGCAGTCGGCCGCATCGGCGCTTCCGAAAGGGCAGGGGGCGGCGGTGATTCGCCGTAGGCGTCTTCGATATGAATGTACATATTTCATATGTGCGTACGCATCCCTGTGACATAGTCGCCGGAATCCGTACAGGTGTTTGCACATAACATGGTTGTTAGTGTTCAGTTTTTCGTAAATGTGTACGCATCATCCACACGATGCGTACATCGGCACAGACACACACACACATTCACGAAATGTAGACACATGTGTGCATCCGTGCTGCATCGACTGGACCCACGATGGACTTACGGCGCGTCTGGGTCAAAGCATTGACGCCAGAAAACTTACGCCCTACGGGGCACGACATCTGCTTACTGATTTGGGAAAACGCTGCGTGAACATAACTTTCGACAGTCCACGCGGATTTCTTGGATCTGCGCCAGGGCCCAGGGCAGCCCAGGCGGCACCTCCGGCGCCGCTCCTGGCGCGCTCCGCGCGCCAGGGGAAGGGAGGGGTCCGGCGCAGACCGTCGACAGTTTGTGTGTTCTGCCGCTTGTCTTCTCCAGATATCCCAAGCTGGTGCAAAGCACAGACATTCGAGGTGTCAGGATGCCTCGTGTGTGTGTGTGTGTGTGTGTGTGTGTGTGTGTGTGTGTGTGTGTGTGTGTGTGTGTGTGGGGGGGAGGGTCCAGGACTTGGAAGAGGAGTACACAGGACGAGGAAGAACCTTTTGGCCCTTCCTGGGCGAGGAGGTCCCATGATCGATGATCGATCCTCGATCCTCGTCGATCCTCCGATCCCATGCCTGAGTGCGGTCGGCGGCGACTGCTGTTGGATTGGACTGGTATGTCGACGCTGCAGTGCCCATTTCCTGGCCCTGCGGACAACTGCCGGGCCTGCCACACCGACCCTCCGGCCACTTACGGGGGGCGATTGCGTGTGCCACTGCTCCAGGACGGAGTGCGCGTGGGCGACGGGGACGTGTCGGCGTCGTCGTCGTTGTCGTCGTCGTCGGCGTCGTCGGCGGCGTCGGCGTCGTCGGCGTCGTCGGCGTCGTCGTCGGCGGCGTCGGCGTCGTCGTCGTCGTCGTCGTCGGCGGCCTCGTCGTCTTCCCCGCAGCCCAACTTCAAGGGAGGAAAAACCACACGCACCGGACAAATGGCGTTTACCGAACAGCCTCGGGCGTTCCCTAAGCAGCCCTGCCCTGTTGCATCCCTTCAGTGGCAGCGTTCAGTAAACGGCTTCGCGCGTCGGGGTGGTGATTCAGGGGGCGGTCTTGTTGGCCCTCGGCAGCTGCCCCCCCGGCTCTCCAGGACGGACGTGCGCGTGGACGGCACGCCGCTGCGCGCCCTCGCCGCGAGCGCGGCGCTGGCGGCGCTGGCGGGGCGGCTCGACGGGGGCGGCGCGCCGGTGCTGCTGGCGGAGCTGCTCGACCCGCTGCTGGCGCTGCTGGGTGCGGCCGCCGAGCGCGCGCCGGGGCGGAGCGCCGCGGACGCGGCGGCGGGCGCGGCGGGGAAAAGGGGGCCACGAGCTGACAGCTGGCCTGACGTCGGGCCTGTCCCTCTCCGGGGGGAGTGTTCAAGAATAGTAAAAAGCATAGTCTGGGGACGATGCTTTGAAATTTTCCCTATTTTTGAATATTTTCTGCGTTTTGCTTGTTTCTTAAATTTTTCACTCCAAATCCCCCTGTAGGGGGACAGGCCCGACTTAAAACTAACCCCAATATTCATGCTCATGACCCACCACGCCACCTCAACCCAACCCGAGAGCCTGAATTTGCCCACCATTTCCAGTGGGGGGGTCGGGGAACATTGAAAAAACACATGGAACCCGTACCCCCCCAACCCGAAATTCGGGTCAAATTCGGGTCTTCGGGTTGGGTTGGGGTGGTCTGGTAGGTAGTCAGAACAAGGGTCACGAGCTGACGAATAACCACTCATGCGCGGCGGCGAGCAATGGGGAGAAGTGAGAGGGGGCGGGCCTTCTCAGAAGCCTCGGAAGTCCCCAGGCTTTCTGAGAAGCTTCCTGAGCCGTCCCCGGAGGCACAGAAGACCTCTCGAGCCCGATTTTCTCCACGCCGACGTCGCATATGCACCGCCGACGTCGAGGGTGCATCGCCGATGCATCAGCGATGCATCTGCGATGCGGCGCGAACTTCCGACCCCCTCTACTCCGACCCCATTTGGGAGGACTGTATTTCGCCCCTGTTTAGCTAAACCGCCGTTCACGGAGCCCCGGTCCCCTGCGCTCCACGGCATCCCGTGCTGCTTTTGCCGCCCTGGCGGCCCTCCCTGCCCCCCGTGGCAGCAGCCGTCGAAGATGTTGTCTCCTGCGGCGGCGGCGCACCAGGCCTCCCTGTTGGGGTCAAGCTGGGGAGAATACAGACGAACTGACAAGCAACTCAAAACAAGGCCTCCCAGTTGGGGCCTGAGTGCAGGGGGGGGGGGGGACATCCGAGTTCGAATCCGTTTCGTAGGAGTGTGGCGCGGCCACCTGGGATGCCCAGGCGAGGCCAGCTTGCCGACGCACCTCACCACGAGGCGAGCCTGCCCGCCTCTCGTCTCGAACCAGAAATTTGGGGTCCGAGTGCGGCAGGTTCATGTCGTGTCGACGCGGTTGCGGCCGTAGCCCGGGCGTTGAAGGCTGAACGCTGCCAGTGTCCCAACATTGGCCAATATAGAACGGTACTGCGATCGAAAAGCCGCCGATCGTTCAAGGTTGAACGATCCACGCGGTGTCAGAAACCAACGCTGGAGTCGTCACGACACGAACTTGCCGTATATGGTGTCGGAGGATTGCGCCTCATTGCCGATGCATCGGCGATGTGGATCGATGTGGAGCCTGATGTTCGCCACGCCGACGTCGGCGATGCATCGTTGACGCATTGCCTATGCACCTGGGATACATCGGCCGTGCAGTGCAATCCTCCGACCCCATCTACGCGGACCCCATGTGGGAGGCCTCTATTGAGGGCACGGCGAAGCTTACCGATGATGAGGAAGAGCGCAGCTTCCCCCAGACGACAATGTCACTCGACGCAATAAATTTTGCCTTCGCTGAGTGCAGGCTCTGCTTATTGGCAGCGAGCACTGCTTGATCTGCGTATCGCATTTGGCGCTTTCCGTTGTGTGCAGAAGGACTCGTACAGCGAATCATCCACAGCTCCTCCTCCGTACCGGCGGGGCTGAGGGTCTGCCTCAAGGAGACGCCATCAAAGAGGGCCGTCCACGTGTCCATGTGCAGAGACAGTGAAAGTGGAGGTATGACAGATCGACGAACCACGAATAGGGTGGGTAAGACCGCGCGCAGGGTGGATCGCGCTTAGGACTAAGGGTAGTAAGTTTGCTATCGTAGAAGGATCTGGGTTGCGAGCGCATTGCCCCTCCTCCAGTGCCTCTTCCTTCCCTCTCTCTCTCTCTCTCCTTTTCTTATATACATTTATCCTCGTGCCTAGTCGGTCGAGGTAGGGGTCGGTCTCCTCCCCTCCCTGGCCCGCAGCTACAACACGGTCATCGACTGCTGCGCCCGCGCGGGGATGGCGGACCGGGCCGAGGAGTGGTACAAGGAGATGCGCAAGGCCTCCGATCGAGTGTCGCGGAAGTGCTACCGCGAAGAAGAGCAACACCCTAGTTCAAATGATCGGAGCTCCGCGCGGATTTCTCGGCTTGGCGCTTGGCCCCCCTGGCGGCGCGTCCGGCGCCGCCGCTGGCACGCTTCGCGCGCCAGGGAAAGGGGTCCCCAGCGCCTATCCAAGAAATGCGCTCGGACCTACGCGAGGTTCAGCCTCTGCTGGCTTTTGCTCCTCCAGCACTCAGAGATCACGGTCCGACCACGCGCTCGGACGGCGGCGGGTGGGAGCACACATTCGGGGACAGGCGCCGCGGGTCAGCCGCAGAGGGGGTTGGCCAATACCCGCTGGTCCCCTCTGGCTGGCCCGGGTTTGGGGGCCGCGTGAAGCCGACGGCCCCCACCCCCTCCCTGGGTGGTTCAAAGATGGGGTCCTGATGGATGGGGTCCTAAGGATGAGGATCGGAAGGGGTCCAAGGGTGGATTGGCATTGTTTGAGGCACCCTATCCTTAGGATCTGATCCCTCGTGACCCCATCTTTGAGCCACCAACCCCACCGCTGACCCATGTTTGGAAGCCACGGCTGGTCCAGGCGGCCCTGGCTGACCCGGGCTGGTGCTGACGCGTGCCGGGGCGTCCCCGAGCAGATCGCGGTCGGGAGTTCCATCCTCCTCCTCCTCCTCCTCCTCCTCCTCCTCCTCATCACCATCATCATCATCATCATCATCATCATCATCATCATCATCATCATCATCATCATCATCATCATCATCATCATCATCATCATCATCAGCTTCATCCCCACCGTCATCATCATCAGCCTCATCATCATCCCCATCATCATCATCATCATCATCATCATCATCATCATCATCATCATCATCATCATCATCATCGGCATCCCTTTCCCGTCTTCCCTCTTTCCATGGAGGCGATGCACCAAACCGTGCCATGGACAGGTCAATCCCAGATACCCACCAGCCCAGTTGAGAGCTAGGGGAGCGAGGGCCGCTCCGACTGCCCGCTTGTCCCAGGTACGAGCACGACTGATTGCACCCTGGTTGCCGCTCTCACAGAGCTCATTCAGGCTCCCTTGTGCAGTGTGGATATCTTTCACTCATGAATTTCAAAGTACGGCTCATTTCGCAATGTTTCCATATTTCCAGGAGCATGCCCTCTTGCAGGCTATTCAGGATCGTGGGATTGCTGAGAAAGGTATGAGGAAATGAGCGATGGGGCCACTGGCACGATGACGGAGGACCTAGCGGCGCTGAGAGAGGCACAGACCCGAGGCACGGGCACCCCCGTGGTTGGAACGGCAATTCCTGATGATGGCGAGTATACCAGGCGGCAGGTTCGTCGCCGCATCGAGCTAGGTGACGTTGGCAACCCTTCTCGTCGCGTGGTCCTGGGATTCCGTCGCCCGCTTCTGGAAGCTACACTTCGCCAGGCCGTCGCCCCGATCGCGAGCGCGCGTGCTTTGGCCAGCAACATCCCGCGTGTCCAGATTGACGTTTTCACTGTCGTAAAGAAGGTGTTTATTGATTTCCCGAGCGCTCTGATGGATTCCGCGTTCCACGCGAAGTGCGTGTCTTAGGGGCCGTCTACCTTCCCTGATCTCGAGGGCGGGGTGGACTTCCCTCAGTCGCATCACAAGTTGTTTTATTATCCCGGGAGTGCAAGGCAGGCCTCGGCGCAGATTTTCTGGCAAGAGCGCGTCGGATCCCCGGGGGTCGGGGGGCGGGGGCGATTTATGTGACCACGGGTGCCATTGCTGTTCTTCCCGTGAAGATTTCCGTTGTTGATATTGGCCCCGTCGGCTGGCAGTGTGCGCGCGATGGTGGACGAAGCTGGCTTGGCCGGAGGTTCGCCCCCTTCGGCGAGTGCAGCAGCTGTCCTGAAGGGAGGGGGCTCGATGACCCCGCTCGCGCCCTGCGCGTGGGACATTCGCGCTCTCTTCGCCCCCGTGCCATCCCCATCTCTCAGAGCGAGCTCAATATTCCAGCAGACAAAGAGGTCGCTTGAGAGAGGTAGCATACTGCATGCTTCCAGGGAGCCCATGGTTCCTGGGCCGACTTGGCCACGCTAGCAGACGAGATGCGCACTGGTACTTTCCATGGCTGTTTTATGGAGGGTAGGGCACCTGGAGGAGTTTTCGATTTTGTCTCTGAGGCTCTTGTTGATTTGTTTCCGAGTGCGGTTCCTAGTCAGGCGACAGAAGGGAGAGTCATCATGCCGTGTTTCTCGGGGTCCGCGGGGGACCTCGCGATTGCGAGCGCGCGTGCGCCTTGCGCGCGTGGCCGCATTTGTGTGTATAAAGAGAATCTGCATGCGATTCTGGATGCGCTGCCTTCTGCAGCTCGCAGTATGGCACTGGCAGCGAATGGCTGGACTTGTGTCCAGATGGAAGATGGCCGGTTTCTTGCGGGGGGCGAGTTCGGCCCTGCGGGTCGATCGCCGCGCGACGCCTTCCTCGGGCGCCGCGGCCCCCGGCGTTGAAAGATGTTGCTTGGCCCCGCGCGCGGGGGCAAATTCGGCGGCGAGATTCGCGGTTTCTTTCGGCTTGACAGACTCGTGTTGCGGGCGTTATCAACGGGATGATTGCATCGGCCAGCGCTGCCGGGGCCCTGACCTACAGGGGCTTCGTCGGGCCATGTCCCTGCAGCAGCGGCGATCGCCCGCCCCGAGTCTGGAGGCCCCTTCGCCTTGCCGAAATGGGCGCGTCAACATGCTGGGCGCAGGAGGGCGGTGTCAGAACGGCTCGAGGGACTGACCCTCCCAGATGACCTTTCGGGCCGCGTTCGGAGAGTGAAGGCTTTTTTTTCCCGGCATTACAGCGGTCGGGTTTCGGCGGTCCCCAGAGAACCTACAGGCGTCAAGCGATGCCGAGCGCCTCCATTTCGCATTCGTGGCATGCCGAGCGCGTTGGGAACAGCAGTGGCCCGATGCCGCGATGCCTTTGTCTTTGCCGCGATGTTGACCGCGGCGTCTGCGCGGGCCTCGACGGCCTGCATTCTCTGATTGTCGCTTTGAAGAACAGATGGGCTCAGCGGGGGCTGGCGAATGTGGAGCAGAGAAGGAGGGTTGAGGAAGTCATGGGCAAGTCGCAGAAACGTTTCGCGGCCCTGAAGAGGGGGCGGGCTCTGATGAGGCGTCGGATTGGATTGGGGGGGCGCTGGGCGAGCGCGGTTGGCCGCGCCCGAATCCCGGCGACGCGGCCCGCGTTCCGGCCCCCGCCAGGGGCGTGTTTTTGCCCGCCCCAGCTTGAAAAGCGCATTCGCTACAAGCGGCGCTCTACCCTTGGGCCCGATGGCGCTCCGCCTGGGCGTCGGGCGATCCCCGAGGTCATTGAAGTTCTGTTTGACGTGCACGGAGCGGCGCGCGATGGCGAAGGTGCTGCGCGTCTTGTGAACCGCGGGGCCGGCGCCGTAGCATCCCCACCGAATGTGGAGGAGCCCGCCGATCAGGGCGCTTTAGTCTCGAGGTTGCCTCGTTCGACCCGCCCCCCTCCACTCTCCGACGCGGGCGCCGAGGTCCTTTCGGGCGCGCGCTTCGTCGGGCCGAGCGAAGCGGCGCTGCGGGCGGTCATTGGGCAGCGGCAATGGGGCGCTAAAGGCCGCGATGCTCTGGATGAGGCGGTCGAGGCGGAGAGGTGGCGGCTGTCTCAGTTCATGCGCGGCAGCGATTCAGCTTGCGTCTTTTTTCGCTGATTTTCGGGCGGCGTTCCCGTCGAGAGTCTCGACGTGGATTTTCCCCGTTCTCGGGGCCGCGGGCGCTTCGCAGGCCATCTTTGGGCTCTGCGTCTACTTGTGCGGGAGTAACATTGCGGTGGCCGATTTTGCCGGGGCCGTCGAGATTTGGCCCCCCAGTCGCGCGCGGGGCAAGGCGGGGGGATCCTTCGTCGACGACTCTCTCATCTCTGGCGTTGGGCCCAGTTATGAGATGGGCCGGGTGCCAGCGCGCGCCCGGGCCGGACCTGGGAAGCGCCCGCGCCGACGATTGCTGCTTCGGTTTGAATGAGATCTTGGTTGATTTGATTCCTGCGCCTCTTCTGTTGGACCTGCTCGCGTCCGCCGGCCGTCTCTCGCTGAATATCGGCCAGTGCTGCGCGCCTGCGGGGCGTCGTCTCGCGCGCGCCTCGCTGGGCGCGCGAGGAGGGGGGTCGATTCCAGGCGCGTTGCGCCCTGGATTCTGTTCGGGGCCGGCTCGCGCGGCGGCGCGGCGGGAAGTCGCCGAGTTGGCAGAGGGCGCGGCGCCGACGGCTGCTTTCAGGCGGCCGACCTTCTACGGTTCGGCATTTTCTTACGAGCCGCGCATCGGTTCTAAAATGTCGGCCGCAATTAGCACGCATCACTCCAGAGGCGGCGAGGCAGCATCGGGCGGCCATGCAGATCTGAACGGCGGGCCCCAGGCACGCGCTAAACATTTGCCTCGCCCGCTTTCGCGGCCTGGGGATCGAATTTTGCTGTCGAAGGCGACGAAATATCGCGTGTGGGTCACGTGTGTGGCGATTGATCTGGCCTTGCATGACATAGAGTTGTTTGTTACTGGTGCGCATGATGACGGGAAATGCATCGGGCGGCAGCTTTCCGTCTGGTGGGGGAGCTCGATGATTGGGCGCGCCAGCGAGGGCGCGGGTGGCATCATCTCCCCCCATGTTAGTTGAGCGGGCGGGCGGGGGCACCCAGCGCAGGGTGCAGAAATATTTCTGCGCGCTCCGAGCACCGATGGCCCCCGCAATCCACCTGCAGGGTCGCGTCGGAGGATGGCTCATGGAAGTTGAGATGCCCGTTGCAATTCGCCTTCGGTCACGGCTCAGGGCTCTCGACAAAGGCGTTCTGCACGCACTGTCCCAGTGGCGTTGTCAGGTCTCTGTCTAGGGGGGCACGCGCCCTGGCCAGGTTGCACTGTTCCGCTGTGGAGGGCCGAGCGACCTTCACCATTGTTGGCGCAGATGTTCATGCCTTTGGCCCCTCCTTGGGTGCCGGGCGTTCGGGGCCTGCCAGCACG